TGAATCAGTAAGGCGAAACATGGAAAGAGCCAATCACTTAACACATGAATGCGATCAAAATTACACAAGGATGATTGAAATCAGTCCAAAATTGAAGGTCATTTCAGAGGAAAATTCAGCATATAAAAGAGTGATAAGTATTAAGCATGCAAGGCTAAATTTAGGACAAAGAGAAGCGTCATGCAATCACAAAGTCAGTAAACATTGAAACATGGTAGTCACATAGGTCAACTTAGTAATAGAGAAAAGAGGGTATCAGAAGCATGCAAAGGGTCAAGTAAAAAAGGCCCTTCTGAAAAGTATAGTCTAGTATCAATGATTGCAAGAAACCAAATCACATAGAGAAACAAAAAGGACTTAGAATCCAGTCAAGCTAATTCAAACAGCTGAAGCAGTTTTCAGAAGTTCGAATAGGTCCAGGGAAATTAGGGTTTTGAAATCAATCGGATTCAGAGTATGACGAACAAGTAAATCACATAGCAAGTAGTCTCAGGACTCGAATGAACCCAAAATTTTAGGATTTTCACCATCAATCGAGTTCTAGAAATGAAAAGCAAGTAAATCGGACAAATACTAACACAAAATATATTCAGAAACTTCAAAAGAAACTAAGACTCTTGACATGCAAACTCCAGTAAAAGAACGACATAAGGAAACACAACATAACATATTGAAAATCAGAGAAAGTTTCAAAATAACTTAACAAAAACCTAAATCGGAAAAGATACAGGGGTTTCGAACGTAGAGTTTTGAAAGAAACCTTGAGAAAACGTTTAGAAGTTTAGAGCAAACACAGATCTAAAACAAATCGGAAGAACCTTAAAGGTTAAGATTTCAGAAGAATCCTAGATGGTGAGAAAGGCATGGAAAATCATCGATCTAAGCAGGAGAAGTCAAGAGTCAGGCCTGAATAACCATGGCTTGGCCGGAACGAAGTCAAAGATGACCGGAGACAGCCATGGAACTAAAATTAACCAAGGTCTGGACCAAACTTTTCTAGGATCTAGCCTTGAAACCATGATAATCGAGCATGTAGAAGCCAAAGGAGGTAGATACAAGCCTCCATTGACCTTGGAAGCCATGGATTTGGGAGGTTTTCAGGTGGTAGTTGAAGGCGGCGGCTAGGGTTTGAGAGAGGACTAAGAGACGATTTAGAGAGAAGGGGTTTGAAGGCAGCTGCAGGTGAGAAATGACTAGGGTTTGGGGTAGGTCGGGATTAAAAAATGAAAGGGCTGATGTAAGTCGTTGATCTAGGCGATCAACGGCTGGGATTAAAAGGAAGTCTGGGCGGGTTATTTAAAAAGGGTCGTGGGTCGGGTAGATTAGGATTGGGGCTGGGTAATTTGGTTTAAAATTGGGGTTCAATTCAGGCTACAATTGAAACACAATTGGGCTATATTTTAAATAACCACTCTTCCCTTATTTATTTTATAAAAAATAGTAAAATAATTTCTGGAAATAATAAAGGTACTAAAATAATTAATAGTACATAATTATCAAATTAAAAATATTAGAACTCGTTTTTATAGACACAAACGTAATTAAATCTAAAAAGAGGCTAATATTGCAATTATATGCAATTTAGCTTTAAAAATACTAAATAAATTTGTAAAAATATGCAAAAATCACATTAGCTATATTTTTGCATAAATAGGAGAGTCCTATAAATGAATCACCAAAAATAATAATTTGGGGAATAATTATTGGATTTTTATGGATAAAATAGGGCAATAAATTGATTTAAAAATCTTTTAAAAATTAAGAAAAAATAATAAAACATTTGGACATACTTATATATGCATACATATGCTATTTTGAATATTAAAATATATAGGAAAAAATTAGATATCAACAATATTTACCCACTTTCCACAACCCTGATTTCTTCTTGTTGGCACGCAACATCCAGTGACAACCCATAAAGTATCTACAACATACAGCCTTGTATACCTCCATAGTTGACTCGCTTACCGTCATCTCACGGCACTCTTTTACGTTGTAGATTTTTACAGCCCTGATTAGGCGAGCTTTATCGGGGAAATACATGCCCTTTGCTAGCACCGCTGGTCTAGACTCATCCTACATTGCTGACCAAAATTCGTCAGCATCCCTTGTAAGGGCATCCACGTCCGGTATACTTGGCAAATTATCAAGGTAAGTAATATTCCGCTCATGAAACGACACGTGGGACTCGTACACTCTTGGTCTAATGGGAGGTGGAGGAGCATGCTCCCTCGTCAGCTCAGGTTCGACGTTCACTTCCTCCTCATCATCACCCTCATCAGGGAAGGGTGTGTCATCTCAAGACTCATCGACATTGTTGTCGTAATCACTATCATCTTCCTGACTCTGCGCATCTGCCAAATCACGAGTCAATACGTCGTCTATGAGCATTTGTGTGAGGTCAGGAACATCAAGTTGCTCGTTTTCACCGCACAAAAAGAACAAAATGATAAGATACTCAACTAGATAAATACTTTACATATAGTGATATCACTTTACTTATAAGTCGTACTGTTTTGACGTTCCATGATGGATATTTCTTGTTGGTGATGACTCCCGGATGGACCACTGTGGCCCAACATGCCAGAACTACGCATATTCCAACTAGGAGTGGGGTCATAATTTGTAAAATTCATACCCGGACGGTACCCCCTATGAAAAATATGAGTGTTAATACAAATCCAATTCAAACATAAAATAAACATCACTAAAGCGTAGAAAAATTGAAGTTTACCAGTCGTCTTGTGGATTATATAAACTCGAAAAATTATTTCCTCGTGCTCATTCGCCGGTGGTAACAAGTTTAAATCAAGGCAAGCTCTTTCATCAGGAATCTGTTCGGAAAAAACTGCTCCAGAATAATCATCCGATGACTGGGGGTAATCCCTACTATGCACATCCTCATTATTGGGAACACCTACAATCTTGACATACATTTCCAATAATTTTATTATAATTAATTCCCTGTATTCATCCGAAATCCGCAAATAATCTCTAAGAGTTTCATCATCTTCGATGTTAAACTTAGAATAATAAGCAAACCCCTGTGGAGTCACAGAATATGGAAATCTACCGGTTACTTTAAGGTTCACCGAACCGAACGTTTCCTCACACTCATTTTTTTATGTAATGATACCAATTTATCGTACTCCATTGTAAGCGGCAATTTAACATGACACCGTGGAGGTGAACTATACCTCACAGAGTTATTCTCCATTACAACCTCACCTCCCCCCCCCCCCCAGTATAATGAAACCCTTATTTTTGGCTCTTCAGACATTATAAAAAAAATGTTTGATAACAAGAATAGAAGTATGAACGGAAGTTTGAAGGAAAGTTTTGAATGGATTTTCATAAAATCCTAACGCGTTTAAATAAGGCAAGTCCTAGCTCGGGGTGCAGATTTTTTTTTATGTAAAACGTAGTATAATACCGCGTTTTATGTATTTGAATTATTGTTATGTCAGTTATCCGCAGAACACTTATTGGTGGGCCCAAAAATAAAGTAAAACACAGTATTATACTACACTTTACAATAAAAAATGAATTATTTAATAAAACGCAGTATTATACTGCGCTTTACTTTAATGGAATATTTGGGTTGCTATTCTAATTTCTGTCCCTAAGACCTAAGATCAAACAAAATAGGCGAAATACATAAAGCGCCCCTTTAAGTTGTCCTCAACGATCAATTGTACTTTAATATATCGATTGCGAAGAAATAAATGCTTGACCATATTATTGTACTTAGCTTAGTAGAAAAGAAAAACATTAAAATTAATGATTTGAATTGAAAAAAAGTAAAATAATTTATTAATAAGATGTCAATTGAAGCTTGACATAATATATACAGTACTTCCTCGACGATATAAACGTGGAGAATATTAACTACATCAATGTTTAAGAGTAAACTTTCACATTTCAGAAAATATTTCATATTTTCTTCAAAAATAAAGAAAGAAAGGAAGGCTAGATTATAAACAAATCACTTTGGTCCAAGTACAAGAAACTTTTTGTACCGCTAATAAGACTTCGCTGCCAGGAATAGATTGTGGAATACTAGCAAAATCAAAACCTAAACATGCTTAATTCAGCCAAAATCTGTATTAATAAATTTTAATTCTAATGTTAAAGCTAGACCTACATTAATTCTTGATTGTACATAATCAACACAAATATGCTTGAGATATAATATCATTTAATTTATAAGAAAAAGAACTTTTAAGGCAGGATAGTTTTTCTACAAAAGTATTTTTCCTTTACTTTTCGCGGGTTGGGGAATATTTTGAAACCTTCACATCTGACCGTCACACGAAGCTGCTATCCTCGACCTATTGCCTATTAATGGAATGACAATCAACTCTAACGGAAAATTGAAAAAGGAAAGTTGGAAAAATGTTGAAGACAATAGTTAATTAAATAAATGTTGCCTCTTTAACAAAATTTGATGAAATGGTTATGAAACACTTCGATAAGGAAATACCATTTTTTAAAAGAATTTTTATTACATTTGGATCAAAAGAGGAGAAGAAGAAGAAGAAGAAAGAGTAGAGAAAATTGAACTCATAGCACTACGACTAACGCAACCAAACGACAAATACCAGAAGCTGAAAACAGTTATTTAAATGTATTGTGTAAATTTTCCTATGTAGAACCTCCACCAACAAAGAAGCTTCAATCGTTGACCTTTTGCCGATTAAAGAAAGCCAGTCAACTCAAATGGCAGTTTGGAAAGTAAAGTTGAATTATTTTTTTAAAATTTATTTTCTATTTCAGTTACATTGGAAGATGCCGAAAGAAAAAGAAGACAAACGATAAGAATCAATTCAAATGGTGAAAGTTGAAAAAGACCAGCCCAAGCGTAACTAAACAAACAAATGCAAGAAGAAAAAGAAAAAAAAGAAGTTGACAACAAGATTTGGTTGCTAAGAAGGCAATGTCATAGCGTTAAATGTCAATATCCCGGGTGGGTTTGTTACAAAAGAAACAAATAGGAGTAACAAATAGGAAATCATGTGAATTTACCAACTTTTTCTATAGAGCTCACTTCTCTTCCAAAAAAAGGCCCAAAATGGAGGTGCTAAACATGTACAACTATGAGATAGTATACACACAAAAGAAAGTTCATAATCATAGGGTGTCAAAAGATTATGTATCATAATTCATAACCTATCCTCTGTTACCCGATCTTGGGTTGCTTTGGTAGAGGCTGCTGAGATACTGATGCTGCTGAAGATTCTGGTTTTGATTGTATATCATGGCCTGTTACTAAAGAAGATGGCATTGATTGTGTCGATGAATCCTCATGAAATTTTCTCTTCCTTGAACTTCCTTCTTTGATCTTCTTCTCTGTTTCTTCGTTATCTCCCTCGCCTCTCAGTATGAAGTCTCTGAGACGCTTTACATCAGAGAGCTTAACAGGCTTCAGCAGAAATTCTTCAGCCCCTTCCTCCAAACATCTAGTAAGAAAACAAAATACTCAATTAGACCGTCCAAATTACAAAGGAAATTTTGTGCTAACTTGAAATCCACTGTCCATGAGAAATGCCAACAAAGTTTTCTTTAGCTAAAAGAGCACATACGTGAACAGTCAGTTGATATGTTCTTTTCAAGAGTGTAGATAAGAATATTTTCTTTTTCACCTTTTCATAGTTAGAACTTAGACAATAAGGCTCAACAGCCAAATATATGGTACTACAAAAAATTTTAGAAGCAACATATGGTCCCTTCTGAAATTAGAGAGTTGTTTTAGACCAATTTCTTCAATACAGTAAACCAAGTAACAATTGGTAAATGAATCCAGTTCAAGGGCACGTTAACAACATATATACTTGATCAAAACTATTACAAATAAACAAAAACTAGTGATGGATGTACCTACCTATCAATGCGAGGTAAAATCTTTTCCGATGACATAATAACAACGGGGATCTTGCTCAATGCCGATGATTCCTGCTCAATAATAAGGAAAGGTGTCATTCACCATTATTGATCTCAAGAAGCAACAACAGATAGGCCTAATATAAAGACATGACATGAAACAAACTAACCCCATCAACAACATACCTTAATTTTTTTGAGAAGTTCATATCCAGTCATCCCAGGCATAGAATAGTCTGTCAATATCAGATTTACCTTCAAACCCTGAAATCCAAAAAATTGCAAATTTCATTAATACAACGAATCACTAGTCACTAGAGTAAAAAGAAACAACAGCAGAAATGTGTTCATACTTACATCAATTCCCACAGAAGTCTTCTCTCCGTCTAAACCCAAATATTGCAGAGCTCTCCTTCCACTTTCCACCGCCGTAACTGCAAATGCAAAACACCACATTCTATGAATTTTTAACAAACAACTTATAATAAACATGTAGTAAAAGCAAATTTTTGGGCTGTCGATAACAAATACAGAGGCTATTGGAACTGTTGAAAAAAAAACCAACCTTTACAAGAAGAAATCTTCAGCAATCGCTCAATAACCTTCCTATCAACATGGCTATCATCCACAGCAAGAACATGCAACTCATTTGCCATTTTCTCCATTTCTATTACCAAAAATACAAATATTGGGTCTCTGTTTCAAAATAGAATCCAAGTAAGAAAAAGGTAGTAAAAGCGAATATTAAAAGGATGGTTCTATTTGGTCATGTGGGAGTAGTAGATATAGTAAAGGAAGAAATCTAGTAAAAGATTGAAGAAGAGATACTGAAAGATCTTAGCAAATCTACATCGCATTATCCCACTTGTCCCCTATTCTATCCCACGCTATTATTAAATTCGATTTTTCCTGTTGTTTCTTGAGAGTTGGGATTTGCTTTTAGTCCAAGGTAACAGACAAAACATACTGTTTACTTCTCTCCACTGTAACGTATCTCATTATACTAAGTAGTAATTCTTTTGTGACAGTACTGTCGTGCTTGTTTGTGGGGTCAGGTGCCATAAACACTGTTTGTGGTCACTAACTTTGACCCGTGTGTGGTCACTTCCTTTGACCATGCTGTTTTTCTTTTACTCAAAATAAAAAAGCCACGCAATAACCATAATAGGAAAGTTAAAATAATAGTAACCATTAATAGCCAGGTAAAAATAATACTTACTACTGTAATAAACATAAATAGGAGAGAATATTAAAGAAGAGAGGAGAGTTTCTTCTGAAAATTGAACGGCTTCAAGAACGTATTGTTTTCTTATTACTGCCTCTTTCATTCGATGAAACTCTATTTAATTAATCACGAGCTCTTAAAAAAAATTAAAAACTTGTCGTATTAAACATGTTATAACATAGCATCATTTTTTAAAAACAAATTTAAAAAATATAGAACTACGTAAAGTACTCCCTCCGTTCAACTTTACTCTTCTACTATTCTAAAGTACATTTTCATTTTTACTTATCCATTTTCGCATATCAAGAGAAAATAATTTATTTTTCCTGTTTTGATCTTAGCATTATTACTCATTCTAAATCGTTTTTCAAATCCATTAATAATATACACCAATTAATATGTGTATTATGAAAAAAATTATACACTTTATTTATTATTTCTTAAGGAATGCAAAATTTAATAGTGTACAAGTGAAAATGAACGGATGGAGTAATACAGAGAGAGTAAATGACTTCACATTATTTTTTAGCTTTAGTATTCATTGAACTTTAGGGTTGGATAAAGAAGTAATTAATTTTACAATATTAATTTCTCCTACTCAAAAATGGAATGCATTGAAACTCTAAAATTAAGGGGAAAATGTTATAGAACTAAGACACTTTTTTTTAATTATGTAGTATGTAAATTTAATTTTATATGAATGTTAATTTGCTCAAACAAATTATCCAAATATTTCATCATCCCCAATTTAATCCAATAATAAGGCCACTGATTATACAACGTTGCTAAAATATATACTACCTAGTATGGATCTTTTTTACAAGTATAGTTAATCATCTTAATCCAATAATCTGTTAGGTCAAGCTTTTCCAATCCTAGGAGAACTTTTCTTTTTAGAAGTATTTTTTTTCAAAGTTGACGGGTTTGGTCAAGCTTTTGAAAGGAAAAAAAAAAGCGCTTTTACGAAGAAGTAGCAACAGTTTTGAAAAGGCAGAAAAAATGAGCTTCTCTCCAAAAGCAATTTTGACTTTTGAGAAAAATATAATTACAAAAAGTTTTTTAAAAGCTTGGCCAAACACTAATTGTTGCTCAAAAGTACTTTCGTATATGGTTGAAATCGGGCTCATCTACTACATGACAGACCGGCTCGAACGTGAGGGATTGAAGATCGACTCTGAGTCCTATCGAACCAGACACGAGGTCAGAATGTCTTTCCTCGAGAACATTGAGTTCATGACCCCGAACGAGTTCGAGGAAACATTGACCGACAGAAGACCGAAAAAATGGAAAGCCGAAATATCCGTGATCGGTCAGGTATTATGGCGGGAATCTCGGCACTTATCAATAAGGAACCGACAAATTAGCAAATCAGGATATTTTTACCTTTTATAGAATTGTACCTAATATAGGACTTCCCTACTATAAAAAGGGTGTCTAATTACTTGTAAAGTACATTGTAACATGTGTCTCTAAGTAGTATACTATTATTTTCTTTCTGTAAGCTACTTTTCTTCTATATCTCGATATCATTTGAATTGCATCCAGTTCAAGTGTGACTGACTTGTAAAGGCTATAACTATTCAAGTTGTGCGTTTTGAATCTACTTTTTCATACTTTATTTCAATTACAACTTAATTTATCGTTTTGTATCAATTTAATTCACATATCTTTAAAACCACTTACAAATTCAATTGTTATTCGATTATAAGGGTAAACGGTTTGGCGCCCATCGTGGGGCTAAGGATAATAGTAATTATTTGATACAAATTTTCATAACACATACTATTTTACACTTGTTCTTTGAAGTGTCTCTGATTTCAGGTTTAAGCTTAAAATGTTAATCTCGCAATTAGCACCCCTACCTGTTAACAATGAGTCCAATCACTATGATGAAAATAACAACATAGCGCCCGGTAACGAAGTATCGCCTGTTGATCCTGTCGGAATTCCAGTTACGGACCTGTTGGACGCTAACTCGCATGTGCTTATCGACACAAACTTGCCTACTGAACCCGAGAATAGCATCTGTGGTGGAGCCCAATTGACAACGCAGAATTCTCAAAATAATATAGGAGATGGAATCAATCTACGGATGATCTTCGAAATGTTACAGGCTCAACATGCGGTGATAGCTCAGTTACAAAACCAAAGCCACACACTGAGCAGAATTGAACCCGATCCATCTCAGGAAATCGCCCGCAGGTAAGAACCGTCATCGAATGAAACGAGTCCAGTACCAACCTCAAGATCATAAAAATGCTCGAGGAGCAGATGAAACGGATAGAATGTTTGATCCGGCAATCTTAGAGATGGTAGGTATGAGGCAAGTTCTGGAGATGGTAGAATTTCAGTAATGGGAGCATTTGTTTCAAGAGGATATGCCTAAGGTGTACGAAGATATGATACAAAATATCTACGCATCTTTCTTCACTATTGAGGGGGATAACATTTGTGTGCTAGTAAATGGAGTAGACATTGTGCTTGACGCTTCAGCATTGGGGAAGATTCTCCAAATTCCATGTGAAGGGACGTCCTCAGTCAATGGTGCCTGTGGTGCTAACTTTAGGAGAGCTATCATGAAAGAGCAAGCAGTTCAGCAGAGAGAACAGGTGCATAAGAATGTACTACTTCCTGAGTATCAGCTTCTCTTTGAGCTGGTCAATAAGGTGTTTTTGCCTCGTGCTGAGAGGCGGTCTATAGCTACAAAGTCTGATCTGGTCTTAATGGAGGCTCTTGATGAATTTATCTCAATCAATATCCCATCAATCATGATAGACCATATGCAAAAGGTGGCAAACTTTAAAGGTGGCAATCATGGGCTTCCATATGGCTTTCTCCTCACTCGAGTGTTTGAGTTCTACAAGGTTCCTTTGGCTAATCCCAAAGTGGGCACACGCAAGCAAACCTTCTCCAAAACCACTCTGGAAGAATGTGAGTGTGTAGAAAAGGTTGGTGGAAGCATCTCGACCATTTCTTAGCTGATCAATGCTCAAAATGTTACTTCAGAAGAGATCAGGAGATTGAGGGCTCAAATGCCATACTAGAAACTCAGCTCAATCAAGCTGTTAGAGGACCTGGTTCCATTAATTCCACAAATAAAGAAGTTGTCTGCTTGACAAAGGAAAATGATGAGCTTCGCACAAAACTGCTTGAAGAGCAGCTGTCTACAAATGCCCGTCTGGACCTGGTTCTCAAAACCCTTGTTGCTTCTCTCTCTAAGTCTCCTTCTTCTAGTGTCCTTTAGAAACCTCTTAGTGACCAGTTATCTACTATTATGATGTTTTGTGGCTGATGTTTCTATTTTTGTTTGTCTTTTTGCTGATGGCATATTGGACTTCACCATTACTGCTCTTGTTTTGCTCAGACCATTGTTCATATCAATGAAACAACTCTTCTATTTGCTTGTACAATGTTGTTTTCCTTTGGCTTCTCTTTTCTGTCATGTTGTGTGTACATATGCGGCATGAGTTGGATGTGTTAGACTTCTTTATGATATTTGCCTGCTTGTGTATTTTTAATGATGCCAAAAGGGAAAGTATAGTATTGAATGCAATGGAAATTGATTGAAACGGAGGATCTGATTAAGGGGGAATCAAAAGCAAAAGGTCAGGGGGAATTTGTGAAGTTCCTGTTACCTCATGGGTAAATCAAAAGCAAAAGGTGTTCCTGTTACCTCATCTGGTTATTTTTGTTCTAAATAAACATTATCAATGCCTAAGTTTGTTATCATCGAAAAGGGGGAAATTGATGAGCTTTTAATGTTCGTGCCTTATATTTTGATGATCTAACAAACTTACTATTAAGAACCAGATAGGAAACCTGACACACTTGGTATACATTTCAAGTGAACGAAGCCCAGCCTGAACTCCAGCTAATGTGAACTGCTGCAAACAAAGGTAAAAGAAGAACAAGACAAGGACCTGATCCCTTGGTGTTCTTTGACAGAAGTACAAGTCAACTATACAACTGGAAAGCAACTGCAGAAAGTGACTGCCTGCAACTGTACATGCGACAGTGCAGCAGACAGTGCATCAGACAGTGCAGCAGTCACTTCCCATTGGGAAGAAATTTGTACCAACCAAGAATTGACATCATCCTTGTGATGTCTTTGGTAGTATAACAATATGGTGCAAGGCACAAGATACTTACTTGAGCATTTAGTGATATTCTCTCAAGCATTAAACAGTTGATCCAGCATTGAAGAACAAGAAGACAACTCCGCTAAAGGATAAGTTTCACAATGAGTCTGTGTATCCGTAGTTGAGTTGTAATCTTGTTATTTGTTCTTTGTTGTAACTCCTATCTTGCTTTCTTAGAAGTTGTATTTTAGGAAACACAAAATCACAAACCTTCTAAGTTTGTATTGTGACTAGAGTTAGTCATAAGTTAAAGTCTTTGTAACTAGTGAGTGACAAAGTTACTTGTGGTAAGTGTATCACAAGTTAGTTGAGCTGAAGTCTTTGTAATAGAGTCATTACAAAGTGGCTTGTAATAGTGTGATTACAAGTTAGTGAAGTTGAAAGACTACAAGTGTAGGTCGTGGTTTTTGTCCCCTTAAGTGGGATTTTTCCTCATAAAAATCCTGTCTCTCTCTTACTTACTGCTTCATTAGATTTTCAGTGGAAACTCATATAGGACCAGGCACT